CCCAGCAGAGCTCATCAGCAAAGTGTTGTCCAGACCAAAAGGCAATAAACACACCGGGACACCTGAGGATGGGAGCCAGGGAATGTGTCTGGCCCCAGCCCTGGCACCAGTGGCTGGGGAGGTTGCTGTGGGCATCTGTGCCATCTGCCATCAGCGTGCTCGGGCCAGGGCAAGCCACTGAGGTGCAGGCTCCATTTCGGACACACAGACCATCCTCTATTATGACTGAGTACAGAAAAATGTCAGTCTCAAGAGCCTCCAGCCAAAAAGAGGCATGTGGAGGCAGGAGGTGTTGGGCTGGAAGCGAGATGCAGCTCTAAGGCCAGCATGAAACATCCCGTTGTCTACCGAAACAGGGGCACGTGGCTGTGGTCGGGAAAAGCCTGTATGCAATCAGTTCAGCCTGTGCTTGGGGAAAGCTGCCCAAGTGCTGCTACAGTGCTGCAATTAAGGCAAGTATCAGGCCAGGATTAAGGGCTAATGCCAGCTTATTTAGCTAGCAAACTTATTAGGAGCATACATAACCTGTGCGGTGCCCGTATGCCTTATTAGCTTACCTGATGAAAATAGCAACTTGTCCTATTGAAGGCTTTTAGTAAAAATAAATGTGAGGGTGGGCATGTAAGAGCCGAGCTGGATGAGGAGGAAGAGGAAAAGGCCTCATATTACAAGGCCCTTCAATAAAGAATATAAATAAGCAAGACTTATGGAGGATGACAACCTCTCTTTTGGTTGTAGAACGTGAATGGACACGGGCAGGCAACAGGGCTGCAGGCTTTTGTGGTTTGTGAGGGTAATTCTTGAGAAAACATATGGGAATAGCACAGAAACATGTAAGTGTGTGTGTGGCGCATCCTACAAAGCAGATCCTGCAAACACATATGTACATACACATATAATTATATAGTGTATGTGTGCATATATATATGCACTATATAATATATAGTGTAACTATATATGCATCTCTAGATAACTACATATTTATTATATATGTCTGACTGATGTGTCATGGTGAAAGAGCTACTACTAAAAATCCACACATGAAATAATGGTATAAAAATGAGGCCATGCTCCTTTCATCTTTGACTGATACCCTGCGTGAAGAAGCTCTTCTCATGCCGGTCAGATGTGCTTAGACACGTAGGATGATTAAGACTATTTGGATTATTGCCACCACAATAACTGTGATGCTCTAAAGGGGCTGAGAGCTGGTGTGGTGACTCTGATGGCCTGAAGACCTATGTTAGTAGAATGGCAGAACATAAATTTTTAAGGAAAACAAAAATAAAAGAAGAAAAAGCTTTGCTTACCATTAAATGCCCTTAAAAGTTTGAGTGCATAGGTCCACCAGACAGCCGGGGAAGGGCTGGCTTGCACAAAGCAGGTCAGGGTGACGTTCAGCCCTACTGGGACTGTCAGGTTGGTGTCAAGGGCTGAGGTCAGGGGCTTCATGCAGCTGTTGAGCTCCACTTCATGAAAAAACTTCCCTGCCCTGAATTTTGGGCTTGAGCAAGTTAAATAGGAATTCATCAGAATAATAGGCGGGCCAACCGACTTGATAAACTGGACAAATCCCCGCAGGCGACAGTCACAAATCCAAGGATTGTCATGAAGGGCCAGGACAGCGTTGGAAATAGCTTCTATCTGCCCCTCCACCCTCTGGCTTCTCTGGTAGACAGGCCAGCTATAGAAGACATCCCTGGATATGACGGTAAGCTGATTTGAGGATAGATCTAAATAGGTCAGGTTGGGCAGATAGCGGAGCGCGTGTTCTGGAAGGACATCCAGCCGGTTGTGCTTCAGATCCAGGATTTTCAGAGCCGGGGTGTCTTGAAATGCTGTCCATGGCACTGAACTTAATTTGTTCCCTTGCAAGCGCAGCTCCTTCAGAGCCGGCAGATATTCCAGACTCTTAATGTGCATCACCGTGATGTTGTTAAAATTGAGCCAGAGGTACTCCAAGGCACTAACGTTCTCAAAAGACCCCCGAGGCAATTCTGTTAGGTGAGAATTTTCTATTCTAATTTTCCGGATGTCCTGAGGGATGTTTGCAGGGATCTGCCTCAGCAGTGCAGACATGCAAAGCAAACTCCTGCGGCAGAAACCAGAAAATTCTCTGGGTCATACACCATGTTCATGGCTAACAAACCAGTTCCCCATACAGATCTACAAGCACTTGAATAATTATAAGGTATTGTATACAAGGAACACATAAGCCATACATGCATCCTCCAGTTTGGTTTTAACACCCATTTTCCCACAAAGACTACAATTAAGTCAGTCATAAAAATTAGTATGCAACTACATATCTCAGGGAAATGAGAGAAATCTCATGCTATGCTCAAGCTAGTACTATTCAAGAATTAGAGGAGGCATACCATGCAGCTAGCGGTTTGGTTTTGGTGCTTGCACCATCGGCAAATATATATTGGGAATCTCCGAGCTGCCTCACTGGTGCTACAACTAGGGTAAGTAGCATTCTTACCTTCCAAAGCTGTCTTGAGAACAAGAGCATCCTGTGACACAGGACAAAACAGCTGGGTTTATCTTGTGGAAGGCCAGAAGAAGAAGAAAAATATGACAAATAGGGTCCATATTCTCCTTTAAGAAAGCACTGTGCAGGGCTTGCACCAAACATGCCAACAGGCTCCAAGAAGCAAATCCTATTAGTTGTAATCTTCCTTGACGCAGAAATAAATCCTGCTGGGGACCCGACCCTAAAGAAGACATGTAGTGTGGTTCATAGCCTGTGTCGAAGTGCTAAAAATCACCCCTGGAACCACTCTTGGCATTTATTCTTTAGCTGTAGGATTTTGACAGATGTGCTCATTTGGTTGGGAATATGAAGATGGAGACAAAAACCACTTCTGTTCCCAAGCCCTTACAAGCAGTTAACCAGGACTATTTTTTTTTATTTTTTTTTTTTATTTCAGGGGGTCTGGCTCAGCCTCCTCTATTTTAATGGCATTTATCAAGTCAGAAAGCAACAGCAAGGGCCAGACTTCACAGCCGCAATTTGCCAGCACCTAGTGTCCTGTTGTGTTATCCCTCCGGCCCCAGCCTGCCTTCAGCTCTGTGCGGGGTGTACAGGTGTGCTCCTGCACATGGTGAGCACAAGACCTACTCCCCAAACTTAGCTCTTCTGTCACGGAAAGTGAAGTACAGCACTGTTTTTCCTCTGAAACAACTTTTTTTTTTTTTTCCCCGTCCCCCACTATTTCCATTCTTACACGTTGGTAATGAAAACTGTAATGTAGCTGTAGCCAGTTTGTGGGCTACTCTAAGAAAATAATATATCTTGGAAGTTAATCTCTATTGTGTAAATTGTATATATAAAATTTTAGGCTATTCTCTGGCTTCCCTGTAAGACATGTGCCAATTGCCTTTCGGTCACCTTGAAAAACTCCATCTAAGTAATCCCATGAGCAGTGATTTGGAGTAACCAAATTTATTTATCTTTTTTAAATCCAAAATAGCAGGGTTTGGTTATAATTTCCAAGCAGCGCCACGTTCGCCTGGGGCCATCTAGTGTGTACGGGCTTCATTACAGCCCGCAGAAGGCAGCTCGCCGCTGGAACAGGGCTTAACCTCACCACCAGTATGTGTGAAGCTGGGTCACAAATCAAGATTAGCCTGAACCTGCTTAACCTCTAACCTACGGGACCGGGATAGAAAAATATTTATAGCGTGACGGCTTAGACCTATACAGGGCTGTCGGGGCATGTGCAATAGCGTGGCTGCAGTAAGCCTGCCGAGGATGCAGGACCCATGCTGCAGCCTTTCAATCAAGCCAACAAAACGAGCTGGTGGGGAAAGGGCTGGGGACTGTTGAGGCGCTTGACGATGGCCTCCTGTCTGCAAGCGCCCGGCCAGCATCTAACCACCAGCATATGGGATTTTTATGTTATTTTTTTTTAAGCTGAAATGGTCCTTAGTTGTCCACAGGGCAGTACTTGATATTTCAACAGCTGCCCTGTGTTTTAACGTGTCAGTAAGCCATGAGTGAAGGAGAAAGGCTGCTGGCACAGCAGATGCAGCAGCTGTAAATCCCCCACCTGACTGTGGTGGTCGCTGGGGATGTTTCCTGGTGATGCTGGTGCTGTTGGCACCAGCACAGATGCCCTGAGCTGCGGCAGGCTCTCCTTATGCACGTTCGGTGTCGCTTCCGCAGCAAAGGGGGGCCCCACCAGCGGGGGGGCTGGGCGG